CATTAATAATTTAGAATGATTCGTCATACAGCATGTTCAGTATTGGGGAAAAGAATTCTTGAGAATATGAGTAATTGCATTCATATCCTCAATTATATTAAAGCATAGAATGGAGGCCTGTTGACAGTGTGCATCAGACACAGCAGACAGTAAAGCTGATGTGGGGACTTGAATTAGTTTTTCTCACATCTTACATCCTAAATGGTATCTTTCTTTGGAAAAAGTAAAACGCCACGCAGCAAGTCTTAAATTTTTATGCCAATCTAATTCACAAGAGAAGAAACACACAGTGGTTAGATGGTTCAATGCCAGCAAGACAGTCAGACAGGCCTGTATTTAATTAATGAATTTCCCATTCTTCCCAGTTCAAACTGGATAAGTGTTATCAGAGTACGTCATGCTTAAAGCCTTCGTTGTAGTGGCAACTGCTCAGACCTTTCTCCAGCTGGTTAGTGTATCTTGGGGCAGAAACGTAAGAAGCGATAACCATCAAAGCACTGAACAAGATCTGAACTGACATGGTAAAGTCGTACATACATTCTTACAACATAGTTGGCATATTTTGACTGTCAAACCCTTTCAGAGCTACACATAGATTTTGTTTTATTCTATTTAATTTATCCTATTTCATTTTCAAAGTGGAAAAGAAGGATGTTCTCCAAAAGCTGCATGAGTACATCATGCTGTTCGACCTCTTGGGATAGGAGGTTTTAAAAGGTTTTTAAAGCCTCACATCTAGGATTTATCTCTGTTGCGGAACAATGAACAAATCCTCACAACTCATGCTGTTATGGGAGGGCTTTGTAGAAATGCAAATTCCATCCAATGCACACATATAGTTTAGATTTAATGAAGGCTCGTGAGCATGTTTCTTAGGTAGTACAGCATGGTCTTACATATAGTTTTAAGTTACACATATAAACATATGGACAATAGCAAGTAGTTTCACTGTCTAGAGCATTAACCGAGCAGAGTACAGTTAATTCATAAACCTGGATAAATATAAATAGAGGGCAAAGGAACTGTGGGTACTAGGTGCACGGTAGTCTTAAATTGAGGCATCACCATTCAGAGTTGTATGTCTGACGCGGCACACACTGATAATGTGAAGGTTATCTGCAAGGACTAACGTTTCGGGTTATTTTTTTAGATAAAGTCTCGGTAGTAAAGGGAATGGGGAAAACGTATTTTCATTTGGACTTCATCAAGTAATGACCTTCAGTAAACACAAGTCGATTTTGTAGCTGATTGTAAATCAGCTGTTGAGAAATAGCACGGGGAGTCAGGGCCATCTGTTTCCTGGAGCTAAACAACAGATTTCTCCAAATTTAGTGTAAGTTGTTTTCATGGGTGCAGACTTTCAATTAACCAGACTTACCTATTAAAAGGTCTAAATCAGAAAGACTGGCACAATATTATAGAAAATTAGAGATAAGAGCAAAGCTAATTATACTGACCGAACATCCATGACCAGATGGTATGAGTACAGGAAAAACCAACAAAGTTAACCTTTCTGAAAGCAACCTGACTAATTTCAGGTGGATGGAGGAATTATCTGATAATCGCAGAAAAAAGAAGAATGGATAAGCGAACAAAATGACATATATTAATCTAATTAAATCCTTATCTTGCTGGATCATCATAGTGTCAGAATGCTTTGTAGTCTAATTACTGAACCAAGGAAACGGTTTTAGGAGAGATTTAGTGTCAGGGAGAGTCAGCAGATAAGTGCTTTGTGAAGCTGTACGACAGTATGAACCAAATTCTTAGGCATTTCTGAAGGCATTGCAAGCTTGATAATTACTGCCTACTTCATCATCTTTAATGTAATGTGTGAGCAAAACATAGTGGGACTTGATAAAGAGTGAAAATGCAATCACTTTACTACTTACTATTTATCAGATTTCCTTTGGCAAGCTGGAATGTCTAAACAAATTGGTAAAGTGGTTGGCATTTCCATCAGTCCCATCAGAAATAATCAAGTAAAAGAGAGACATACTGAGAGTATCTCAAAAGCATTTGATGATTATTTAAGAACTCTTTTGTTACACACTAGCCATTTTTAACTCTGCCATTGATGGAAAGGCCCAATCGACATTTTTAACATAAGTCTGTTGATGTGTGTGCACACACCCTGTCATGACCATCTGTTTTCATCATAATTCCGGCAATTTAGGCTTCAGTTAATTTATTACTGGGACAGCCAGAGCCGCTCTGAGCATATAGTAGGGCCATCAAGCACGTATCCTCAGACTTACACAGCTTGCAGACTCTTCTGTCTGAGGTGGTCGGTTTTTTCCCCCCTCCATACAGAAAACCAAAATAGATTTTGATACAATATACTTTTCCAGGCAGTTATTTTCATCTGAAAAATGAACTGACCTTTATAAGTATAAAGCATAAATATTCAAATGTCTCTGAATGAAAAGAAAGTGTTTTTTTTATAACCAGTGAGGAGTTTTTTCATTGAAATACCTCAACTCTCACCCAAAAGCTACAAAAAACTTAAAGCATTCTTCCCTACTGCTGCCGTTCTTACATGCACTTTTCTTCCTTTCTGAGGACAAAGGGAAAGTTCAATATTAGCTTGGAGATTTTAAACTGGAGAGGAGAAATGGGCATTTTGTGAAATGGTCCATTACCATCAGTCAAAGAGACACTAGTACTGTCATTAAAGGAAAACTGGCAAATTCCAGCTCTGTCTTCTGAGGATGTCTCATTAAAATCCTCTTATCTGGGTGAATGGTTTTGGCTGCAGTGGAGCAGCGGCTCACATGATAATGACTTTAGTGACATTGCAGCCATTCTCTGCATATTATGATGTCTATTTGCGATGTGACTTAAAGATCTTTTGGTATTCAGCCTGATGAGCT